ATGTGGTACCTAACCCTGCATATATTCCCATATGTGCCTGTCCCAGTGCTCTTTTCTAGAGCAGGGAGAGGGATCAGGATTCCTTTGTTGCTGTACTGGGGGATATCGGTTTATGACATTATTAACACCAAGGGCAATGAGGGTCAACTGGGACGTGTTGCTCTCCTACGCTTACCTCTGGCACTACCGTGGTGTGTCCATTAATAATTGTCCCCAGCTTGTGAAGGGAACAGGGGAGGATGACTTTCCCCCTCTCTTTCTCCCTCAGGCCTGTTACAACAGCTTTTGAGGATTCTGAATGTCCCTTGGATGTTAAGGAAAGCATGTTTTTGGTGCTAGGTGTACTAGGTCTTCTCAGTGTATTCCACACCATGTTTAGAGTTACAAAAGAGATTTTTAGGAGGGTCTTTCAGAGACCTGCCCCAAGGGTGGATAGCCTTGCATGGCATAGAATGTGGCAGGACACGGGCCAGTATTTGGAGGACTTCTTTCCTCCAATGGTTTTAAGTTCACCCCTGAACAACTACAGGACCCTGTTCAAGTGACAAAATATGTGAAAGAAAAAGGTTGTGGTAGCTACAGAGAGGCACAAAGTTATGCACTGTGCTGAGTCCTGGCTACTGTTTATCAGACACTGCTTGATACTAAACACACCCTCAGAAGGAGGAGGAAAGCAGACCTGTGTCTGCCACAGGCACTGTGACCACTCCAACTGCAGCTGAACAACTGTGCCAATAGCAGTTGCCCCTGTATAAAAGAAGAAATCCAAGACAAAATCAGTTTGCTTAGTGAAGGATGAAGAAGTAGGGCCCTCAGAACAGGAGGAACAGGCAGGGCCAGAGATAATCACCCAATCCCTGTCCCTGGGGGAGCTGCGGGATACGCAAAAGGATTTCAGCTGCCACTCAGGTGAGCCCCTGGTGAGCTGGCTGCTCCAGTGCTTGGGTATCATGGCCCACAATATGGAACTAGATGGTAGTGAAGCCAAGTGACTGGAATCCCTGTCCTGGGATGGGAAGAGCATTGGGAAGAGGACAGAAACACTCAGCCTCTGGAGGCAACTCCTGTCAAGCGCAAGGTAAAGGTATTCTCTCAAGGATGACCTAGTAGTGTGCCCAAGCAGGTGGAATGCCATGGAGAAAGATATTGTTCCTGAGAGAATTAGCTGTGCTGGAGGTAATCTAGAGGGATTCAAATAACCAACCCTGTAGATCCAGATGAGGTCCAGTGTACACAATCCACGCGGTGGAAGTTTGTACAGAGCACACCATCATTGTATGCCAACTCATTGGCACTGATGTCAACGAAAGAAGGAGAACAAGCAGTGCTTCAGGGGGAAATGTCCCACGCCCTGTCAGGATGGACCACAGCCTCTGCTATTGGGAACAAGCCTGCTTGAGAGAGAGGGTGCACACCACAAGATAACCTGTGGCTTTGCCTGCATGACACAGAGAGAACAAGAGGAAGTGGGATGGGAAACCCACCTCTGCCCCAGCAGTTGAGAGAAAGAACAACCACTGCAGGAAATTCTTCAAGGATAAATGCTGCTTTGGTTTCCGGTGGGCAAGTCCTCAGACAGAATAGGAGAGCTCACGTTACTTCAGATCCTCTTGAAGGGACCTCCAGGTCATATTTAAAAGAAGTGAGCAACAAGTACTATGACCAGGACTAAAGGGGCCCTGTCTCCAGCCAGGTAAAGGGACAATTGGATCTATTGGACTGTGTGGATCCCATGGCACATCAGACCCACAAAAGTATAAGGCTTTAGTTGACACCAGAGCACAATGTACCCTTATGCCATCGAGATATGCAGGTGCAGAACCCACCTCTTTTTCTGGGATAACGGGGATCCCAACAGCTGATTCTACTGGAAGCTGAAGTGAGCCTGACCAGGAACAAATGGCAAAGATATCCCATTGTGAGTGGCCCAGAGGCCCCATGCATCCTTGGCACAGATTACCTAAGGAGAGGGTATTTCAAGGACCCAAAAGGGCATTGTTGGGCTGTTGGGATATCTGCTTGGAGACAGGAAATTGGACAGCTGAATACTTGCCTGGTCTCTCAGAGGACCCTTCTGCTGTGGGACTGCTGAGAGTCGTTGAGCAACAGGTACCGATCGCTACCGCAGCAGAGCATCGTCAGCAATCCTGCACCAACCGGGACTCTGTGACCCCCATCCACGAGATGATTCATGACCTGGATGGCCAGGGAGAGGTCAGCAAGACTCGGTCACACTTTAACAGTCCTATGTGGCCAATGCCTAAGTCCAATGGAGAGTGGAGAGTGACAGTAGTCTGTCCATGGTCTGAACAAAGTCACACTACCACTGAGTGCCACTGGAACTCAGGATGAACTGGAGTCCAAGGCAGCAAAGTGGTGCCACCATGGACATTGCTCATGTGTTTTTCTCCATTCCTTTAGCAGCAGAGTGCAAACCACAGTTTGCTTTCACCTGGAGGGGTGTCCAGTACACCTGGAACCGATTGCCCAGGGGTGGAAACACAGCCCCATTATTTGCCATGGATTGATCCAGACTGCACTGGAAAAGGGTGAGGCTCCAGAAGACTTGCAATACATTGATGACATTATTGTGTGGGACAACATAGCAGAGAGAGTTTTTGAAAAGGGGGAGAAGGTAATCCAAGTCCTTCTGAAGACTGGTTTTGCCATTAAGGAAAGTAAGGTCAAGGGACCTGCCCAGGAAACTCAGTTTTGAGGAGTAAAATGGAAAGACGAACATAATCAGATTCCAATGGATGTGGTCAACAAAATAGCAGCTACATCCCCACCAACCAGGAAGAAGGAAGCACAGGCTTTCCTAGGCACTCTGTTTTTTTGGAGGATGCATATTCCAGAGTACAGTCAGACTGTAAACTCTATTATATGATCCAGAAGAAGAATGATTTTAAGTCGGGTCCTGAACAACAATAGGCTCTTGAACAAACTAAGCAGTAGCAATTCTATTTGCCAGTAAACTGCAGTGGAATTCCCTTTCTCAGACTTACCCAGTCTTCCCAGTAACACATGTAAGCTTTTAACACCTATAACCATTTCCACAACTTACCATATGTTTGAAGAACCATCTGCTTTTGTTTGTTCTGCACCCATCACCTCACATTAGTTACAAGGGCCAATTTCTTCTGTCAAAAAAGGTGTGTATGTGGAAATGTTGGTCGCCTTATAGATAATTTTATAGATCTCTGTCACACATATCTAAATAACCACCTTCTGCAATTAAAAAAAAAACATACCCACATCCTCAAACAAAACTAAAATCCAAAATACCAAAGAAAAACTGTGGGAGAATTTCTTCTCTGTTGCTTTAAAGGTTTCAGCCAGACTGTTTGAAGATTGACTGTACGTTGATAAGAGTTAACAAATGTTAACATTTTATAAAAAGCAGTAGAAGTAATATCATAACTCTAACACTTGGAGACCCTTAGGAAAAAAAACACAAGTAATTCTGAAACCTTAGGATGATAAATCTTCTCTGATGCTCTGCATAGATGTCACATGACAACCTGGAACAGACTCATTCTGCTGGCTTACACTGCTTGAAGAACAATGAAATGGAAATTGTCCCAAAAGACTTTGTGCCAAATCAAATATCTTCTGTCCTGCCACAGACATGGTAATGTTGGCATAAACATTCTATGATGTGTTCTAGCCACTTTGACAGAAATGCAGCAGTGAGCTCATGCCTGATCTAGATGAAAATTTCTACACAAACTGATCCAGCATTAAATAGAACCATTATTAATGAATAAGGAATCTCAATGTCTTGGCAAGCATGACAGCAAAGAATGCCTAACTTTCCTTTTGCAAAATACATTCAGGTCCAAGAAAGTATAAGGGCTGAAGTGCTCAATCTGTTATAAATAAATCTCTAAGCATAGCTAAGGCTATTTTTCCCCTCTTTTCACAGAGCTGCTGTAATGTTAGGTGAATTACAGACAATAAATCTTGCTTTCAGGACAAAGAAAACTCTGCTCCCTGAGGCTTTCCCAAAGACTTCTTCAAAGCAACTCACCTTGCAGGACTGGAGTTACTTCAGCTCTGAAGAAGAACAAACAATTATGTGACCTTTCAGCACATGACTATGACTTCACCTTGACTGATTTGCAGTTATAAATAAGTAAAAGCAATTTTGTAAGGCCAGAAAAGATATTGTGCCTAATATAAGTGCTAAAAATTATTTACAATAGTAAAGAATCAATAAGGAAAGCTATAATTCATCAAAAGAAAGACAAATATACCAGGACTTAGCAAAGGTAGCTGGTGTTACTATGCGCTAGGCAGTAAGTTTTCTGCTTCTCTTGGAAGCTTTTGACAGTAAACTGATGCAATACTAAACAACACTATTTTCTCAAAGACTGACAGATAACAAATGTCAGATTTGTTCCAATAATGTTACACAACAAAATAAATGCAAGATTTTCAATGTGGGAGAGAAGAAAAAGTGCCTTTTTTTTTAATTGCGAGTTTCAACAGGACATGTCAGAAAGAAAGGGAAATCTATCCCCTTGCTGAAACTCTAATAAACCACGTGAGAAGCAAAGTATAGAGGATTTCAGTGAGTACAAGTAACTATATGTGAAATGAGATTTATTTCTTTAAAATATGTTTTAGTAGCATCTAAGATGAGCAGCACAAAGAATGAAAGATGATTTTTTTTTTTAACCTAAAAACATTAATCCCATTCAAAAGCTTTTTCCCCTGATGACCTAAGAATTGACTTATTTAACAAATCCTTCTCACACATGCTTACAAAGAGAGCTCTACTACATGGATGTAATTTCCATTTTACACACATTAAAATGAGGAAAAAATAGTGAGTAACTTGCCCAGAGACAGAGGAGAAATGGAGGTGTTTCTTAAAACAAAACTCAACCACTATCCCACTGCCCATTCAGCTTATATCAGAATATGAACACCTAGAAGAGTAGAGTAACTACATTCTGTAACTTCACGGAATCAGAAATGCAAATACAATTACAAACCTCTATTTTGTCTGTTTTGGCATCTCCCCAGTACATTTTGCTTTCTGCATAATCCAGTGCCAGTCCATTTGGCCAGCCAAGCGAGGTATTCACCAGCACAATTCTGTCTGAGCCATCTAATGCTGACCTTTCGATCTTTGGGATTTCTCCCCAGTCAGTCCAGTACATGTAGCTGCAAAGGAAACAAAATCTTAAGAACTCTTATTAATCCAAACTTTTAATATTCACATAGCTTCTTCTGGACTACTCTTCCCCAAACCCACATACCATGCAGAAAATTACATTTCTAAAATAAATATATTTCTTTACCTAGGTAAGGATGCCCAAATCATTCAGAAAGAACTGGCATGTACGCACACTGTCCCTTTAAGCAAAACTCCTATATCAGTCTGCTCAGCAAGACAACATAATCAGTGCTATTATCTACAACAAACAAGCAGATCCACACAGTCCCCAAAAATATTTTTAAAAAGAATAGTACATAAAGACATGTAAGATGACTACCCAGGTGGTCAAAATAGAGCAGCAGTCCTTGTACCTCAGACCTTTTTAACTTTCAAAGAATCACAGTATTTTCATTTTGAAGGCTCAGAAGTTTACCACTGCATCCCATTATCTACATACAAGTAGACAGAGTATCTTCTTCGCATGACTAATATTTTAGAAAATGCTCACAAACAGCTCCTCACCCAGCCATGGGATCCAGCACAATAGCTCTGGGTTCTTCCAGGTCTTCTGATATCAAGATTTTTCTCATGGTCCCATTGAGTCTTGTAACTTCAATACGATCTGTGCCGGTGTCCGTCCAATACAGATTTCGGGCAACCCAGTCCACAGCGATGCCATCGGGATGTGCAATCTGTGCTGTAACAACAAACTGACTGCCCGACCCATCGATAAACGAGCGGCGGATGGCCCTGACTTCATCATCCGTCCAATAGATGTATCCTTCCAGAGGATCAAAGTCAATGGCAATGGCATGACGGATGTCCTCCAGTGGCAAAACGATGTCTGTAAAATCTGGGGTGTCTAAGGAAATTCGCCTCAGATCTGTCCGGCGGGCTAAAAGCAGCAGTGCAGTGGCACCTGCATGAACAAGACAAACACAACCATCTCACAAATGCTGTGCAGTAATCCTGTAAATAGCAAACCTGATTCTGTGCCACTTGGAACAAGCTAGACTGGCTACCTTGATTTCACAGGACCTAAACAAACTGCTGGGCACCAGCAGAGAACACCACTCAAAGGCTTCAAATGTGAGGTTATTCTTCTGCAGAACAAGTCAGGCATGTTTATAGAGAAAATTCAGTGGTCATTTCCTTGTCCAGAATTTATCATGTTGAACATGTTTTCTACCACATCATTCCCTCCAAAGATACTGAAATAGATAAGCAGTGACGATGCTGCTGTTTTATGCAAATCAACAGATAGCCTGCAACCTCATAAATGAAAAATCAATTATATAAATAATTTACTTACTGTTTGCTGTTGTTGGTTAAGGGACAATCTTGACAAACAAGCTGCATGTTTCAACAATGCCTTAGAAGTGGAAAAATTGTAACACAGAACACCGCAAGTAAATCACTTTTGAGAAACTCTTATTAGAGCAATCAGATTTGGGAACAGACAACTGTCCAATGACTATGCAGAGCAGGTGGGCTATCAACTTCTTCCACATTTGTTGAGAACAAGCTTATTGAAGACATTAAGATAAATAACAGTGTCTTATAAAGTAATTTTGAGCTGGCTTTTGAGTCAGAAGTCAGAATCAATAAATAACTAAGATCAGCTTGCACTGCAGAAAATGTTTTCACATAGGCAACACAGAATGTTTAATGGTACTCAATGACATTTACTGTCTAATCTAATTAACTTTTATTTTCTATTCTGCCACTAGATTTCAATGTAATGAAGGATAAACAACCACCACACCCCATTCCAATTAAAACAGCCTTATCAGTTTGGAGTCTTAAGGAGATAAGAGCAGATCAGGCCCCAGGGAAGCCTGAGCTAGGGTGAAAAATGCAGGCATAATTGCAGGGAAAGTGTGGTGCAATGGTTCTCCTTAAAGAGAGGAAAGGGTTTGGCAGGGACTGATGGGGCTTGTGTAGAGAGGTAAAGGTTTAGGAAAATAAATGTGTGAACTTGCAGTGAAAATGAGCAATCATCAAGCCACATTCTGTCCATGGCTCGATCTTGATCTTAAAGAGGTATAAATATGGCCTAGAAGACTGAAAGAGCAATAACCAAAGTAAGTAGGTTGGTGATGAAAGAAGAATTTTGGTGTCTGTTGCCAAATTTATTTTTTAAAAAGACAGTAATTGATGTTCGTGCTAGTTGAAACCTCACTGCATGCCAAGCTTTGGAGAGATGCCAAAGCAGCCATTGCTTCATTTACAGCAAGTTTATTGTGTTAAAAACATCTAAGACACTTTCACAGTGCTGCAAGAAACAGCACCTTTCAACAACTGAAGTTCAAAATATTATTACAAGTGTTTCTGATTAGTAGTCCAGCATGGATTAAGATCAGCTTTGGGATCTTCTGTTCTAAAACTCCTTGTGTTCAGAAATATATGTACATACTACTCAATTGTTCTTCTAGTGAATAACTCTTATGAATTAATTAATCAGGAAGGGGAAACCTGTAATTACATGTCTACGTATCCTCCAAAATACTGTAAAGCATGTGACATAGAAAATGGAAAAGAGGCATGCTAGTAAGGTTTTTTTATAATTACAGAAGCAACTAATTTTGACACAGTAGTCTATATGTACATCTGTATTTTTTGCTACTAGAGTATAACAAACAATTCAGCATCAAGATTCAAGCATACAGATTCATTATGGTCATACAAAGCATTAGTACATAAATAACCCTAACAATTTTGGTTCAAGTAAGGAACAAACCCCTAGTACTTTTTCTTATCAATCTCATGGTCATTTATCCAAGTTACATTTTAAACAAAACAATCATAGTAAAAACCCTGAACAATAATAACTTTTTTGCATTATCAAGTAAAACTAAGGTTGAGCAAATGCACTAACCTCAGAGTTTGAAACAGTTAAAAAGTCATACATTGTCTACCATACACAGAAAAAATGTCAGGTATAATTTAAAAAAAATTTATGTGCTCTAGCTGAAGTTGACAATCATTTTAAAGAACCAATGCCAGGCCTCCCGAAAGACTCAGCTGAGTATAACCATTCCCTTTCTGAAACTCACCCTTAAAATTGACCAATTGACCTTTCCATTCTTCTCAAAGACAACCCATTTCAACAGCTTCAGCATCCTGCTTTCAGGCTGCAACTGTTGTTTAAGTCAAATAACCCACTGTGTTTAAGCTTTAATTCAGCACTGGGAAATGACTGGCTTTTAGCTAACCCATGTTGCACTCTGGAACCCCAAGCTAAGAATTTCATGGTCTTTATCTGGGGGCTTGGCTAGCATTCCAATCCCTCGATCAAACACCACCCCTCACCCCTCCAATCAAGCAACAAAAAGTTTAAAGCTTACTTTAGAGCTATTACCCAACCATTTGCAAATGAACAGCTCAGCTGCTTTCTTAGATCAACAGTCATTTAGTGAGAACACTGCTGAAGGTACTCAAGGTTGCCAGGAGGTAACAAAATCAATCAATTTCGTTCACTTATATCCCAAAGACCAGTTATGAAGGAAAAGCTAAGATGACAGCACGATCTCCAGACTTCTTGACTCTTGCCTCTCTAAGAAAAATCAAGCCTCTAAGGATGAGCACGATGGAGAATAGAGAATCACATTTCAAAAAAAGAATAAAAGGGCAGAAAAAAACAACACGGGTTGCATGCCAGCACCTTTTTTTTTTTTTCCAATTTACCAGCACTTATTAGAAGAACTGGAATGAACCACAAACATATAAAACACCTCAAACCTTAACTGGTGCAAGTCAAAAGGTGCATGGAGGCTGCAACCAGAACTCTGACCTCAGCACACATATGCAGACATGAGGCAGTTTTCCCTCAGAACACCTCAAACCGAACATAGAAGGATGAAGTGACCGAGCCAAACACACAGGAGACTTGGAGCAGAGTTCAATGCCCATGATGCCCTCTTCTCTCTTAACTACTGGCAATCTCTACTGCACCCAACACAAGCAGGCCTGCAGACACAAGGGCATCTCCAATACAGTGTTGGGTTTAAAGGCACAGACCAGCAGGTATGCCAAGGTCTGTGCTCACAGCCTTCAAACTACAGTGCCCAAAGTTCCCATGCACACACCTGCAGGCAGAGTAAGCAAGAAAAATAAGGTTGTCCTATATCTAAAGTCAGGTCCCTCTGTGTGGATTTCCCACACAATCTTACAACCCCACAAATTCCCAAACTGTTCCAATCGGGGACTAAGCTCAAGATCTTTTTAGCAGTGCCTAAAATCACAGGATATGCAAGATAGTTAGCAATTTTTTGAAAATCAAGTCACTTACTTGTCTAAATACTCCAGATCCTTAGTTTTGAGAGCTTTAGCCTACTTTTACTAAGCACTTTGAAAGCTGGGATTACAAGCTCACAGATGGTACATTACATTAGTCCTGGAACTAATACTTTCCTCAAAAATTCACTATTAAAATTCTAAATAATTTAAATCTATGTGCTAGCTGAAGTCAAGGGAAGGGGGAGAAAAGGGGAAGCATGCAGATACATGCAATAGCATAGTTTAAAGTCCAATGCCCTTCTAATCTTTTATAATTAATTACTTTTCCTTAATGTTATACAGACCTCAGTCATTTGTAAGTTACTGAACTTTAAAACATCAGTGGTTGCTGAGCTACACAGACACATGCTCAGGAATTCATACATAAGGAGTGCTAGACACAAGACATGTATAATGCATTCTCTGTATCTGAGAAATCAAGATTATTTATACATCCCAAACAGAATTACTTCACATTTGGACCAAAACATTTAATTCCCAAATGTCCTTCCCGGGTTGTAAAGTCACTATTGTGAAAGAGTACCTGATACAACAATACAAACAAGTTTTTTTCATCTAGACAAGCTCAGCCACAGAACTACAAAGGCAAAAGAACATGCATCTGAAACTAATCCCATTTTTTCTTTCCTTCAAAAGAAATGAAAGAATGAGGGTGTGAAATTCACGTCTTCATCTGTGCAGTCGAATCAGGATTCTGGCTATTCTGGACAAAGCGAATTACTCATTGGGCAACCCTAAATTGCAAAAGGAAGTGCAAAATTCTGGTTATTGCCTCCAGGCCTACAAGCAAAATAGGATATGAGCATCCTTTGTCAAAATAAAGACCTTTTTTCCTGGAAGAAAACAGAATGGCCAAAGCAAGGCTGAAAGCTAAGTCTGAAGCAGTGCTTTTTCTTCATGAGGAAACTCACACCTTCTTGCTCAGCTGAAGTCACCATCAGTTTTTTCAGTACAAACCACGTATTTGTATTGGCAGTAGCAAATTCAAGACACAGGTAAATTCCTTAGAGGCAAAGACAGAAGCGGAGCACATGGACGGAGAGATCTTTAAGCACAAATAAGAATATAACTCCAATGACAAACTAATTTTTGTAAGAAAATTTAGGTTTGTTTTATAACTATCAAAAGACCATTTATATGTAGCACTGCCAAACTCAGAACAGCAGTGCACATAATACTGAAAAAGAGAAATCCCAGTATGTTCTGCAGAAGGACAATAGATTACCAAGAATATGTCAAGAGGAGGTAAAAACTCCCTGGCAGAAGTGCCAGGGTGCTCAGAAAGGACTCTTCACTTCGGACATTATTGATTGAGGAATATCTGGACATGAAAAAACTTACTCTGCCTCATTTTTCTTTGAGGTACAGGGATTTATAAACTTTCACCTTGGCAATGGGGGATCTAAAACCATGCTACAAGCCCACATCTCAGTCACTTAACTGTTTTGATTTTATTATGATTTATTAGAAAAATAGGTAATTTTATTCTAAGCTATCATCCTTTCCTGAAACACTATGGAAAATTGTTTCAAAATTGGGGTGTCAGTGTGTGTGTGTGTGTTTGTATGTGTTATTGTATTCAAAGATCTTGCAAGAAATAGTAAAACTCCTCTAAGGTGTGATATAAAAGCCTCTACAAAACCCAGAGAAACTAACACTGTGAGAAAGGCAAGGGAGGAAAAGATTTCCTATAAACCAAGATTATTCAAAAACCCTAGGTTGTCATGGAAACTGCTCAGGGAGGTCAGCCAGCCTCACCTTTGGCTGTCAGGATCATCTGTCAATGCCAAAGCACTGCAAATACCACAAACACACACTCAAAATTCACCCGTCAAAATCTTTCCAGTCCAGGCCAGTACTCTCAACAACGCAGCATAAATTAAGTTCTCTCCTCAAAAGGGCTCATTTCATCATGAAACAATTCAGTTTAGGAACCAGTCTGATTTTCGTCTACTGCTAGAAGACAAAAACTCATCATCATTTTTCACCTTTCTTCACTTACAAGTCACCAGTCCCTCCTTCCCCCACAGTCATGTACATGTCCTAATTGCAAACAGAGATTTAAGCACTCGGTGTTTCAGCATTTCAGCCTAATAGCTATATACTAAAACTATCCAAGGTAAAAATGTTCAGTTCTCAGCAACAGTTATAAATTCTGAGACACAAGAAATGCCAAAAAAAGTGAATTGATGCTTCTGAATATCTCTGCATGAGAAGTTGAAGTCCTTTTAATAAGGTTTTGAGGGGTTTTTTAATACCATTCCTCTACTTATCTTTGGTAATTTACTTTGATACACTGCAAAGGTGCCATTCAGCTCTTAGCACAGGGTAGTTAACCTGTCTAGCAGGTTACCTCCATGAGGAAATAGGGCCGAACTTGAGGAGCGAAACAGGCACTTCTGTGATACAATGACCTGTTCCTTAGAACACAGCACGTGGGGAGCAAAAAAGACACAGCCCCTCTTGCCTGAAGTCCCCATCCCTTTTCCTACCAGCACAGTCAAAGGGAAGGAATTACTTTCTCTTGATCTCTCCAGGGCTTGTTCCAACTTTTGTCCTTAGTCCTTCAGCCTCTGTTACTTTTCTGTTCTAGTTACGCTTGGCAAGTGACCAAACTTTCGTAGAATCATAGAACATCCTGAGTTGGAAGGGACCCCTCAGGATCATCAAGTCCAGCTCCTGGCCCTGCACAGGACAGCCCAAGAAACACACCATGTGCTTGAGAGCATTGTTCAAACACTCCTTGAGCTCTTGCAGCCTTGGGGACCCTGACCACTGCCCTGGGGAGCCTTCACCACTCCCCATCCCCCACATGGACTTTCTGTGCAGCTCTGCTTTTGCAAACATGTCTGTATTAAGTAACAACTGCTTTGTTGTTATCAGCTGCCACAAAGGAGTTTATCTGTGCATACAGAGTTGTGGTGGGAGGAAACAGTTTTCCCCCCATTTTGAGTCTCGTGTGGTTGTCTGGAAAAAACCTTCTCACACTGAGTTGAGATGTGGAAGGGGGTTTGAAGATAGGGAATTAAATTTTTAGGGATCTCAAATCATGACACAAGTATTCTCAAAAAAGCACATGGATCCATGTCAAATTATGACTACTTATGACCAACCCGGAGCAGTATTATTAAAGCTTGTTCCTTATACCAATAGAAAAGAAAACATTTTGCTTGTGTATTGGTAAATTCTTACAAACAATCCTGCCAGGCTAAACTGGGAGCTGTTTTTCACACAAAAGTAGCAATTTATTTTAACAAGGTTCACACAGACATTCAAATAATCAGCAGAGAGCATGAAATAGCATGAAATTAAAGAAAACGCTGAACAGTAGCTGACAAACCTACAAGAATTTTTAAAATATAAAACTCCAATAAAAAATTATTTCTGTATACATTTAATTTAGGCTATTTACACTAAGTTCTGCTGCATCATTTCTTCCTCCATTTACTTTTGTCATAGAGAGGGGATCTGCATAAAAGATGGTTAATTATGAGCTACCTAACTATCTCCCAGTGTTAATTTTGATTGTTAATGTACTACAGCAATCACAGCACATCACAAGACCTATACTTAAAAAATGTAACAATTTGAAGTCACATACAGTAGTTCACAATGAGACACTAAAAGCAGTTTTGGATGAGTGCTTGCAGCTGTAAATCTTGATCACATCTTGAGTTTTAAGGTTGAAACACTTTCAAGACCCCTAAAAACATGGCATTACTTTCACTTCTTCTCTACAAATGTAGGTGTCTAACTTTATGTATACGAATTGAAAAGAGATTCCAGGTGTATGTGTGTATAATACATAGATATCAGATTTTATAAAAAACATTTAAAAAGGGTTTGTTGTGCAACCCTATTAGCCAAATACTAATTCACGATCAATAATGTCAGAAACATTTTAGAGGCAACAGAAGAGGTACGTATCTTTTTCTCTAAGAAAAAGGAACAACAGAGCCCCCAAAAAACTTGCAAGGAGTTAGTACAGAGAGAGAACTGCACCTTAAATTTTGTAACTGGTGGTAACCTGCCCTTCGGCCATAAGTATCTTTCTTTCTTTAAATGTAGAGGGCTTTTATCTGTACTGCAAAAGCCTGCATGATTTCAGAATTTGCCACCCCTAACGTGCATTATATCGTGAAGCTGGAAAGAATCCCTTTCCCTCCAAAAGCTACTTTGTGCTTAATCTAAAGAATTTTTTAAAAACAAAGCCTACCATCTTTGCAGGTCTTTCCATTTTCGAGAAGTTTCACACCAGTGGGACATGCACACTGATAAGAGGGCTTGGTAGGAGACATCAAACACAAGTGGGAGCAGCCACCATTATTAATTCCACATGGGTTTGTAGCTGTTAAACATAAATCACACAGATTAATGCTTCTGATAACGAATGACCTCATCTCATGTGTTAAGACACACATGGCATTTGGCATTTGAGTGGTAGAATCGGTGGCAGCAACACAGATTAAAGGAGGAAATGATAAACACAGAACAAGGAAAAATTACTTCCAAGTGTTGAGTAGTGGGGTATTTATGGTACCAAAATGCACAGATGTTGAATGTTTCCTTTCTTGGGAAAGTAGCACTTAGCTCTAAACAAGAACCTTGTTTCAGCTCTGCTCTTCTCATTTTTACAAACTATTCAGCATACTGGTGCTGAATATAGGTTGTATACATAAAAACAAAACGCAAACACAGTAAATTAACACAATGGTTAAGACACTGGTTATTACACAGAGCTAGTCCTGCTTAATATCATCTGCCAAATTAACACTACTTTCCACTCAGGAACTATTACTTCAAAAAAATAGAAATACCATGTTGCCTGAAGTTATGGCACAGAAAACAAAAAGGAATATGACAACAGGATAAATGTGTCAGGCAGAAAAAAAGTAAGAGATGGTGTTTTTTCCTTGCACTTAAAAATGCCCAAAAAACAATATAGAGAATATCTGGTTTCTCTTTGGGGTCTTTTGCAATCTCTGCATTGGAAAAATTGTATCATGATGTTGGTGAAGTCACCCACCACCATATAGAAAGACTAATTTTTGCAAATCAGTTCCAACTTGCAGTTAAAAAAAGAAAGAAAGCAAGATAGCTTACCATTTGGCTGCCTCTTTTGGCTGAAAGCATGGATATCCATGGGAGAGAAGATGTTGGAATGTATTTCACGCAGGTCCTCCCCGGAGTACTTGCTGCAGGCCAAGATCGAATGTGTGTTCCAGTCAGTCCAGTACAACATGTCCCCAAACAGCGTCAAAGCAAAAGGATGTGGAAGGGAGCCTTTAACCACTGCTTGCCTGATAGAGTACAGGGAAGAAAATGAATGCTCAAACACAATTCATGCTACAGTTTTGCTTGAACAGAGCTTTTGTGAAGTTTTACAGTGTAAGTTCTGTTGATCAGAACTTTCTATTTATTTATGGGAAAAAAATATACCGCCCCCATTTTGGGGAATCATATGAAGGAGCAATACAGCAGTATTATTTTTGGGCCGCCTACTGGTGCTGAGATGCCTAAGAGCTGCCAACTGAAATCCTTATTTAGGTCTGTGGCTACTTCTTATGACCCCTTGAACACTCAATACCTTTAGGGCTCTGTGCCACCAGGTGAACTGGGGGGAATGCCAGCTGATTTTATGCAAATCTGATGGCTCCCTGCTGATATACGATGTCCACCAATTTCAGCCTTGGCAGATTTCAAACTGAGATGAACTGGTCAATGAGCTGTCCATCCATCTCTTCCAGTTTCACTCTTTTAAACCATTAGAAAAATACTCTAATGGAAAATAGTTTCACTATAAAGTAACTTAAAGTTACTTTTCATGATTTTCATGATTCATTAATTATGATAATTATTAAGCTATTGTTTTTATTATAAGCACTGCCATTAAAGAGTTCAAGTGATCTTCTGCCATGGTAATGGTATCAATTCTGAGCAAACTGGGTCACTGCCTCTCTCCAGGTTCATAAACAAAATTAAAGAGTATACCCGTATATTTTATGTATATATACAAACACATGCTCATTAGCAAGCACAAAAATGCAGAACTAACATTACTGAAGACAGTTTTTCCAGGCTCTTGTGATGTAGAATCTAATTACCTGTACCCAAGTTCCTCAGAACTGGAATTAAGTAGCTCAATTCTTATGGTTACTTTATTCAGAATCATAGAAAAACTTTGTATGGAGAGGACCAACACCCTGCTCAAAGCAGGGCCACACAAGTACTATTTACACAAGCACTTCTTCCCATCTCCTTTCTTCTTAACTGCATGAGCAGACATGTATTCCCACATACACAAGCTCCTGATGAACAGTAGGGATCGCCATCCATTTTCCAGACTGAAAACATAAGGGTTTGACACACAGCCCTGCTACTCCTACTATGAACACCAGCCTCCCGATTTTCTTCTTGCAGGGAGGAGAGTAATTATCTATATATTTACTGAGAAAACACCTCCAACACCACAGACATCACTTTTGCAAATAAGTCTAACTGAAGCGGTTTGCAGGTGACAAAAACACTTTTATTTTCCAAATATTTTCTGCTAAAATATAACAGAAGAGTATATTAAAGCAAGAAACCTGAAGGTGTCTCTGCCGATGACTCTGAGTACAAAGAGACTACAGTCATCACTGCTGTTTCACCTCTGGAAAAAGATGCATTATCTTTACAGTTTTGGTTTTTTTCCCTCTGCTTAGGAGAAAAAGATATATGTTCCCTTACTTGTCACTCTAGTGTTCCGATTCTACACCAAACAAAATTTTCTAGTTCGTGGTATTTTGCATTCAAAAGTAGGACATATTATCTTTTACTTCTTATCTCTGTCTGGAGTCAGGTATATATTTGCTCCTAATTAAATGCACCAACTAAGCATCATACAAAAGACTATTGTAATATAATTTACAGCTGAAACTTACCAGTGAAACAGTGAAGTCAGAATAACACAACACACTCCTGTACCACACCAAGTATCTTTATAATTCTAATTCCGTAAAATATTTTATGAACCTCAAACACTAAATGTATTCAGATTTGAATAATTTTAGTTTAGACCAGGCTTGGAGAGTAAGTCTTTATGACAAATTTATGACATTTTTCATAAGAAAAAAAAGAAACAAAAGTCCAAAGCTCTCACTATAACCAAAGCTACACCAAAGACAGCATTCCCATGCACAAGAAAAGCCACATTTGGATAAAGCATTCTATCTTACCTTAAAAAAACTCCAACCAAACTCAAAACCAAAAAAACCAACAACAGAAGAATTTTACATGTGATTAGTACCCACTACTGCTAGTGGAAATAAATCTTTAAGTACAATAGCCACTGTTTAACATACCTAACTTTCAGACAACCATCTATTCATATGACAATGCACAGGCAAACTGTGACCCCTATTTAAACCAGCCCTTACTTGGAGTCTCGGACTAAGGAGCCCTTCATTTGACTGTACCTTCAGTTACAGCCTTGAAGCGATTACTCTTCAACTTGTATATTTGTCTCAGCAGATACAAGGTTGCAACACACGATTATGGCTTTGGGCCCAAACACAACAGTGTGTATTTCTTGCATCTCACTAAGATGAGTATTACCAGTAATATGTACTCTGTATTCTTTGTTTCCAGCAAGCCACTAGAAGGTGCTAGCTCACTTTCCCTCAGCAAAGCCAGCAGGGCTTTTTTCCCCCATTCGAACATCCTCCAAAGGCCACACTCGCAGCCTTGCTGAACAGCAGCCATATGATGAACGTCAGCACAGAAGCAGTGGCTTAAGGTGTGCTCAATAATACTCTACAGCCTAATGAGGAGTGAGAGGAAAGGACTGGAGAGCCCAGCAATTAGAAAACAGGAAAAGGAAGAAGACAGAGAACAAGAAAAGACCTTCTGATGGCTGCTGTGAGGCAGTCATGCTTCAGCACGACCTACTCTTGGAACTGCAGAGCTCTGGTTTCAGTGAGCAAGAAGAGGGGTCCTGACTTCTGCCTTGACCAATTATTTATTAAATACACCCAGGTGGATGAAGGGGGCCAGAACATCCCCTTTAGTACTCAACTTTTGCACAGAGTTGGTAGGTGCAGGTGCTTCCCACGTACCGGGTGTTTCCCAAGCTCAGCGTTGGGGAGCAGACAAGTCTCCACATTTCTGGCCTCACTTACGAAGCCACTGATCGGGGTATCAGGTAAAGTGCTGCAGGTGTAATTGGACTGATGGGACCTGACAGCACTTCAGTGGCAACTACATTATCAGCCCAGGCTTGATTGGAACAAGTGATACGACAGCAACAAGCAAATATTTTCCATTATCAAATCCCTTCTGTTCTGGCTGCGTTGCAGTTCTCTAACTTCAAGAACTGATCAGAACACCCGCAGAAAACCTGGGGTACTTTAGATGTTCTGGTCTGTATGTCTAAACCATTAACATTACCGGTTCACAGTAGCAAAACTCCTTTTAGGTGACCCCAGAGGCTGCCTGTGTTCAGTCTCCAAGGCAGGGTGCAAGACTTTTCACATTTCTGTCTCACTCCATCTCTCCAGTGTCACTGTGGGGGATCCCATACCTATTACCATCACCTAGGCTATCAGAAAGATGAAAAAAACCCATATCTGCTTTTAGTGCTCAGCATGTTAAAGAAATCATATAACAGGCTTGCACAAAACAAATTATAATATTTTAAACAAAATCTTTCTCTCCATCTACAGATTGCTTAATGCCTTGAGCATTTACAAAATCGCAAGAATTACACATCTTCGACTTGTGACAGCTGGAAATATTAGCAAGTGGCCGAAGCAATCACAGCATGAATCCCACATGCCATCAGATGAAGAAGGATGAAAGACTGAGACAACACCACAGCATGCCACGAGGATGCCACAGGGAGGGCAGGGAGCTCTGGTTCCCTCAGAAGCTCACAAGATTTCTTCTGCCAACTTAACAAAAACATTTGCAAAACAAACTCAAAAAACTAAGCTGGATTTTTACCATGAATGCTTGTTCAAATGCTTCCTATCATAAGACAAGCCTGCTTCTAATTCCCTAAGAGAGTAAGCGGGAAATATGACTTGGGGGATATAATGCTCTCTTTTAAGACCAGAGTTTTGTCTTTTGCCACTTCTTTAAGCCATGATTGTCACGTGTTTCCAGAAAGTATGTGTAACAAATAACAGGTCTAACAATGACATTTCAAATCCCACCTGCAATGAAAGTCTGAAAAAAGTCAATCAAAAATCAAACTATGATTGAGAAATTAAGTCATTCTGCAGGTCATTTCTCAGGCAAACAGCATTATGGGTGAAAGGCCCCTGGCACGAGGGGAGGAGATGAGGGACTTGAGGAGAAAGTACACCAGTAGATCCACTAACTAGAGAGTGGTCTACCATGCTTTCTAACTGAAGCTGCTCTTCCTTTGCTTTCAGCAGGGTTGAGTTCCTGCACTAATTTTGCATTTGCCATCTCATGTCTTAGAAAAAGTATTGAAGAGCGCTTCCATTGATACACCTGAGCTAATCACCTTATACTTCACATGTATTTTTAAATTCTAGAAATGTGCCTATGACCTAGTGACTCTAGCTATATACACAGTGTGTATGCATCACACGCAGTCAACTACAGATGTTTTGAAGCTCCACTTTTACAGCATTTTATTTCAGAAGCACCTTGGGGAAGAACCAGAAAATTCATCCTAGCTCTGTGTCCAAATATAATCTTATTAATTCTGTTTACATAGGATTCTTCAGCAGTTTTAATTAGGGCATTGTTTGGCTTCTGCACTGGCCTCTAATGTGTTGGTGAGAAATTGAAACAGGCTTTTCACCACTGACTGGCTCCTCTTCAGTGCTTGAAGGTGTTAAGCAATTTTATCTCCAAGAAATATACAAAAAGATATAAACAGAACACAGTCTTTTACACCTTGTACATAATGTCATGTATTTTACATATTAGAAGCAAATATTGAAAAAAATTCTTTTAAATGCAGTGACTATTTTTAGTGTTTCAACAAATCTGCAACTAATCATCTGGCAGACAGATAAGAGCTGATGCTTGAAAACAGAAACTAGAAAAATCAATGCTCAAGTGCAAACTTAAGACATTCACCTCCTTGCAGGAGCTTCCCAGCTTTCTGACAGTTGCTAAAAGTATGTTTTCTTACAGTGGCCTCAAAACCCATCTCATTAGCACAAACACTTCCTGGGGGACCTTGTAAGTGCATTTCCCTTCAGCCAGTAATGTGTTAACTCCTTAATTAGAACTGCTGCTGCAGGGTAAAGAAAGAGGAAATTAATTCAAGAACTGCCTTAGCAGGCAAACCTATCTTGGGTACTCTACTCACAAGGAGAGCTGTCTGCAATTCAGTTTTGTTTAATTACTCCCACAAAAAGCAACTGATAAGAGCAGGGCAAGAGTTGCAAAAAACCAAAACCATCCCTTCTATGCATCAATTTTATTTTTTAAATAGTGCATTCTGACATGAAAAACTGTTCATTTCTTTCTCTCGTTGGCAAACCAAGGGCATTAGTTATAAATTTCTGTGCTCTTCCTCTTTATTCTGAGCCCATCACTGGAGCAGCAAGGACTAGTTAATCCCAGGACTAGCAGGTAATGAATGATACATCATCCCTGTAAAATTTGCTGGAGATATTTTCTCATGACATTTAACTGAGTACTACTGCCAGCACTATCATGCTGCTTACTAGTTCTGATGGCTCATTGTGACTCCAAAGGGAGTTATCTAGATCCTATCCAAAGAGGTGACAAAAAACCCCCAAAAAATCCAATAATCCAGGCTTACTTTATTTCTCTCTCTGCATGTTCCTCCCACATGCCTACTGTACTCTTCCACTATCCAGACTCCCGCAAGCAACAAGGAAAGCATTCATGTTCCTTGTGAGATGGGTGAGCAACTGGCTCAGGGGTTGGGCACAAGGGGTTATAGGGAATGGGGGGACATCAGGCTGGCACCAGTCTCTAATGGGGTTCCACAGGGCTCCATCCTCCGCCCAGTTCTCTTAAACATCTTCATAAACAACTTGGATGCAGGACTGGAAGGGATATTAACTAAGTTTGCAGATTATACTAAATTGGCAGGAGCTGTTGACTCCCTGGAAGGCAGGAAGGCCCTGTAGAGAGACCATGACAAATTAGAGAGACGGGCAATCACCAGCCATGGGAATTTTAACAAAGGCAAGTGCTTGATTCTGCACCTGGGACAGGGCAACCCTGGATGGACAGACAGACTGGGGGACGAGACACTGAAGAACAGCACCACAGAAAGGACCTACGGGCCTAGTCAACACGAGTGGAGGATGAGCCAACAGTGCCCTGGCCCTGGGGGACATCAGACACTGCATCTCTGCCTGCTCAAGGGAGGGGATTTTCCCACTCTACTCTGCATTGGCGTGGCCTCACCTCAAGTCCTCAGGGCAGTTTTGGGCACCAAAATATAAAAAAGACATGAAGCCATTGAAGAGCACCCAGAGGAGGGCTGCAAAGACGGGAGAACGGCCTAGAGGGGAAGCTGTACGAGGAGCAGCTGAGGGCACTTGCTCTGCTCAGCCTGGAGAGGAGACCTCACAGCTCTCTACAACTTCCTCGGGAGGGGCAGCACAAGGGCAGGCACTGATCTCTGCTCTCTGGTGACCAGTGACAGGACCCAAGGGAACGGCTGAAGCTGTATCATGGGAGGCTTAGGCTGGATATTAGGAAAATGCTTTTCACCCACAGGGTGGTTGGGCACTGGAACAGGCTCCCCAGGGAAGTGGTCACAGCACCAAGCCCGACAGAGTTTTTGGACAATACTCTCAGACACATGTTGCGATTCTCTGGGCTGTCCTGTGTACAGCCAGGAGTTGGACTCAATGATTCTCTTGGGTCCCTTCCAACTCAGGATATTCTATGATTCATATCTTCATATCTTCTCTGAGACATAAATCTTAAAAGTTTTAATTCTTCTGTAGTGTCAAGTGTACAGACATTATATTCAGACTATAGAAATAAAAAGATAAAAAAGTTTAGGATTTCTTACAGATTTAGAAATAAATCAAGAGAAGAACTCCATCCAAATTTTAGATCTCTGAGGTCTGAACTTTTATTACTTTAATACTATCAGTTACACTAATTAAAATCTTTTCCTGTTTATACCATATTCTCTTTTCACCTTCCAAACCACAGTATGTTTTCTTTGAACTGTTTGAAATTCTTTTTTGCTATAAAGATGTTAGTTTCTGCTAAGTATTCCTCACTTCTCCCAAAGCAATTAAAACTCATGCCATCCCACTTTATATGAAGCTTTTACAATCATTTATCTGCTACAGACTCTTTCCCACCTCCTGCCATGCAATGTTGTCACAAAAAAGATTTTTATTTTTACTTTTTGTAAGTTTTCCTTAACAAATGGATAGCTGTGAAAACACAAGACAACAGCTGCAATAAGGAACACTTTGTCAAGCTGCCTCACAGAAAAATCTAGTTGTTTTTTGGTTTTGTTTTGGGGGGTTTGGGCATATTTTGGGGAGGGGGGGTTGATTGTTGAGGGTTTTTTCGGTGGTAGTGGTGGGTTTTTTGTTGGTTGGGGGTTTTTTATCAGGAGGTTGGAGATGACTAGGAGAAAAGACTGAAGGATTTGTGGGTTTGGGGTAGTTTGGTGGGATGATTTTTTTCCACTTTAAAGGAAGATCTAAAAGGATTTTGTTTTGTCTGCGGAATTAGAAACTGTCTTTTCTTTTTTAGTATTAGAAAATTAGTTATTGAAAAAAATTAACAAAATAATTAAGACACAAAATACAGAATTACAGCTGTAAAATATCATTTGAGAAAGCTGAATTTTGAAAGACAGTATCTAACAAAAAAAGAATCACTTTAGATAGCCCCAAAGATCTTTTTTTCTCAAGACAGGCAGAGGCTAAAAGGTCACAGTGGAAAAAAAAAACAACATAAAACCCCATTGTAGTACAGCTTAACTTCTGCAGTTCTTTCCTTTTTCCTCCTCCTGATAATATAATTGCAAAGAATAAAAAATGAAACAAAAATGCTGGATACAGATGTTGACTTTCTCAGAATTTTCTCACATGCCTAGGGAAAAACAGGTGCTGTTAGAATAAGTCTGTGCTTCCAGTGCTTAAGGGAAATCATGTGTGCTTTCCTTTCTAGAGATGACTTCCCTTTTTCCCCCTCAAATGGTAATGTATTAGCATACTGCCACAAAATACTTCTGATACTGAACTGTATCAATTTAAAAAATAAAACCAACAACTTAAAGCATTAGACTGCTTTGCTTTTTATGGCTACATAAGAAAGATTAGTAGATCTAAAAATCCAAATTACTTGTCTATACGGGTTTTTAATACAAGTTTGACTAATTCCAGAGAATTTACTCTGGAATGAGGTAAATACTGGGACCCAGGTGATTTCAATTCTGTGTCATGAGACATCTGTTTGACACATCTCTCTGCAGACAGATAAGGTTGGTCAGCCCCTTGCACAACAAAAGACCAGCACCTTCACAGCCTCATCTCTCAGGTTAATCAATGGCAGACTAGGGAATAAACACCATTAAAATAAAAATAGAATACCAAATCCAAGTATATTGACACCACTGTGAAACAGATCAACAGTAAAAGAAAAACTGCAAATAAATCAGTAGCGAAAGAAGACTGAAAATGCAGAAGTGCCAGCAGGAAGCACTGAAGTAGCTCTGGAGCAAGGAAGACTGGAGACACTAGATAAAATTAAAAAATAATTAAAAAATTTAAAAAAAAGAAATAAAAAATACTCGAGTTTCTACTGTATATGAAAATTTTTATCATTTTGTCTCCATTACTTGAAAACTTATGTGACGATCATATTTTTTTAAAGAAAGTGTCACTATGAAATATTTCTCTCTGTCTTGGTATTAAGTTTTCTTTCTCGTGAAGGAAACACCAAATGAGAGGCTCCTTCAAAATAGATATCTATACCTCCATGTTATGAATTAACAAAGTTAGTTACAATATTTATACCCAAAGACACAAATTTAAAACTGCATCCAACTCCTGTTACTTTCTATGAACAAACACCATTACAAAAATACCGCATGAACTTTTGATCTCTTAAAAGGCAGAATTTAGGAAGAAAGTGATATAACCTTTCAAACCAGTGTTAAAATGATATTGTGGAGTTCAAAACAAATACCACAGGAAGACAGAGGACATGTTTCAGGCATGCTGCCTATGTTCCTACTCACCAGTCCACACAAAACAACTGTTTTATCAATATAATTGATTTCTTTATGTCAAATTGGTATTTGTGGTGAAACATGGGACAAGCCCCTAAGAGGCCAGAACAAAGAACATAAGAAAGGATATTTTGTGCCCAGATAAACTAGCTGAAGCATAAAAAAAATTTGCAAAGAACAACCTCGAAAACATCATCTCTCTATATGATACCTCAGGCACAAGCTAACTGTGATTCATTTGTGTCTGCAAACAGTACTTATCAAAGCTCTCTCATCTAATGAAGAGGGTCATCATCCAAATTAGGGATAAATGTATACATACAAAGTAACAGTTATGTCCTTAATTAAGACATAGCCATGACTGGATCAAAAAGAATTACATTGTCACTATGAAACCGTTAGAGAAAAACAGTAATTTTAACATAGTTCTCTTGTAAGGACTGTTTTCCACTAATTTCCCAGCCCCTAGGATTAATGAAACTGAAATACTAGTATATGACAATCTATTTATTCAGATTATTTTCTGCATTTCTGAATGCCACAGCAACACTGTACAGAAGACCTACTGAAAAGGGACAATTTTGCTATATCGTCTTATACAACTAAGAACAGTATTCTAGGATTTTTTTATGGAACTGGTTCTAAGAAATGTCTTCAGTAGAGTTACAGGATACCCTGAAGAGGAGCACACATTCCACTTCACAGTGCTGGAAGGCACAGGATAGGGAAGGATAAAAGTTTCTGGCAGCACTAGTTTGCTTAAAATTTTGTGAGTGCTAACACTACAATTCACTGCAACGCAGCATATGATATCACTTAAGCAACATTTTTTAAGAAAAGTACCACATTACATACGTAAAACAAAAACTTCTTACCTATGACTGCCATCCAGATTTGATTTGTGGATGAAATTCAGTTTAGCATCTGCCCAATAAAGTTTCTGTTCCTCATAATCCAACGTCAGTCCATTTGGCCAATATATGTCTGTGTTAACTATAATGGAGCGGCTTGAACCATCCATCCCAGCACGTTCTATCTTTGGCACTTCTCCCCAGTCTGTCCAATACATGAACCTATAATTATTTGAAAATAAGAAAGACAAAAAAAAGAAAGCAATCATGTATAAATCTACAACTGGAACGCTGACGACAACTTTCAGTAGAGACAAAAACACACTCTATTCTGCAGAGACAATATCTGTAGAACTCTCTTCTACTGTGTAAAGTACATGTATCCTGTGAAACACAAGAAAGCTACTTTACAAGAAGTTAAAGAAAAACAACTTAAGACAAATGCACAGTACTATGTCAGTTTATACTTCCATATGTTTCTTTCTTTCCTTGGGTGAAGTGAGAAAGTTGGGAGATATCAAACACATCTTGACAACCATCTCAGAATTCAACACTAAACAGCAAAGATAGATATTACAGATTATCATAAAAGTACAACAGCTTCTTTAACATGGATCAGAGTTCTGGCAGGGGAACAGGAAAAGAAGGTGTGAGGACTTACAGCAGACATAGTTGCATGTGATGCAGTTAAGTGGATTTAATGGTAGATGAATTCATGTCCTTTTTTTCCACAGAAATCCTGAGAGAGGTAGCTAAGTCAACATGTTTAGAAACACAGCTTGCACTCAGTAACTGGGCAAAACACTCTGTAAAATCTTTTAAGACTGGACAAGCAAGTTGTAAAACATGTAACATATACCAACGTTTAAACATTATTTAACAAGTAGTGGGGAGAGGGAAGCTACCCAGTTGCATCTAAGGCTGAGGTGAAACAAGGGAAACCACTTTATTACGGCTGGAGATTAATAGCAGGTAGGAATATTTGTCCCTTTTCTGCAGGTGGTAGAAAATGGATATACTTTTGTGGGTTGTTAACTGAATGCATAACTAAACAGAAGTTACACAAATTATAAACAGATCAGATCAAGTGTGTCCATGGTGCTTTTGCTGTTGCAGCTGGAACAGACTACTGTCCTAAATTGCTCTCATCACCTCATAACATCTGCCAACATACCTGTATACCTCTTTGTATCTGTGCTCCCTAACCTGGCTCAGTCAAAACAATCCAGATTAGGAAAGACTAACTCAGATCATTACACAACCACAGCACATCACTATATGGTGCCCACACCTGAAGAGGCCTGTCCACCCATCCTCAAAACAAAATCGAACATGCAACATATTTAAGAAACATTTGCATATGAAGTTATTCTTGTCAAATATTTATTCTTTTTTTAATTTATTTTTAAGAGTCAAGAAATTCCATGTCATTATCTCCCCCCTTAATTCGTGTCTACAGCATGTTTGTTTTAGTCTGCAGCAATATCTGCGAACAGAAATGCAGCTGATTAACACAAATATTGTCTTATTTGATCCCAAGTGAGTCATTCTTCATTGAGCAATATGCTTATTTTAAACACAGTGCAAAAATATCTGAAAAGAGCATGTGAGATTTCTCTGAACAGAAACAAGTGCCTCAGATAAACTGTTTTTTCATCAGGAAGAAGGACAAAACCCAAATAATTTCCAGATAAGGTAGCACAGTAGCAAGCCACCTGGTCAAGTTATGGAATAAGAAAGCTGCATACTTGAAAAAAGAAATGTTAAAAAAAGTCAGGCAATATTTCACCAGTGAGTATGTGAGAAAGAAGAGAGAAAAAGAGAGATTTACTTTTAACTTCTTTAAGACAGCCCTTCTTGGCCCTAGCTGTCAAGTCCTAGACTTCCAAATCAAGGTTAATAGGTTCCAAGGCTCTGACCACCCTGCTAGACCAATTTTTTCAGACTGAATCAGCTCCTTAATTGCTGCACAGCCTCATCTTCTTCCCCGTCTCACTCTCACCTCTAACGCATGCTGCAATTACTCAAGGAAAAACAGGTAAGGGTAGTTTGGTAACAAAGAAGAGGCTTCCCAAACTTCACAAAACCAACCCAATTTCATTTGTCAGAGAAGCACATATACACACAGAAGTGGCTTAAAGATTCAGTAACATTTCCAATCAGCTCTGTTGACCTTTGCGCAGTTTCGCCAACAGTTTGGGGTTTTTTACCTCCACCTTGCTTGAAAACCTAGGAGTTTTAATGTCTCCATTAAAAATGTTTTGAGGCAGCCACACTCCATCTGATGACAGCAGCCATACAGACAAAGTAAGGGTCATTCTCTCTTAACCTTTTCAAACACAGTTATTTCAATTAAAAAAAAAAAGCCACCATCGAAGCCCACAGGATAGAGCAAAATATTAAGAGAATATATTAAGAGAAAAATAATGTCTTGTGCTAAATTATGGCATTGAGATACCAGTAGAAGACAACTGTTCCATTTGTCTCTCTTCTCATCTAGTTATACCTCGCTACACAATTTAAATCCAGGAACCAAGATTTTAATTCTAGTGCAGAAGAGGAGAAAAGTAACATTTAAAATTAGAATCTATACCACCCTTTTAACTTTGAGGGAAAACCCTGCATCTATGGAGCAGGTTCACTGTACAGTGGCACAGTCACTGAACTGGGCTCCGTGCTGGGCAATCCCAAGTCTGTAAAGATCCAGAGGGCAATGCACAGACATGCTGTGCTGTAACCGACTGCAGCAAGCACACTTTCACATCTAACAGTAGCACCAGACTTAGCAGGAAGGCCTTTAATTTAGTAACAAAGCAACCCTTATAGAGGCAAATCTCTCTTCAACCTAACAAGAAATACCACCAGAGGTCAGATTTTTACCAGCAGACTCTGGAAATGGTTGTGAGTCCTCATAAAAATCTCAAAGAAAAACAACAACAAAGTGTATTTCTATTTATCTCTGCTTGTAATTTTTAGAGAGTCATGCCCCCCTCCAAGGAATTAAGGCACATCAAGTATTTGATGTACACTTATAGAAGAGAAGAAGGTTCTTAGACTGAAGTTAAAAAAAAAATAAAATTAGTTGGTACTTTGTTTGACTGTGGCGCAGGATGTTGGTTTATCTTAAAAGATTATACCATCACTAAAAATTATGAACAAATAGAGAAAGAGTTTTGATGGTTTATTCCTATCAACTTGTTTCTATGCATCTTTAAATCTAGCATTTTTTCATTTTTGCATCTCAGTGCATAAGGTGAATCCAGGCAATAAAACTCCCTCTAAAAAGGCATCAGAAATCACTTGCACTGTACAGTTGTAACTTCACAGTTTTGATCTGCTTCAGATAGAAGGTTTTCCCACAGCAAAACAAACACACAAACAAACAAATAAACAGGATGAAACAGCATTTTATGGTTCCATTCTGCACGATCAACAAATATAATAAATAACAGAGCTTCTTTTCCACAAAGCTGTTCTTTTCCACAAAGGCACGCTGATGGCACAATATCCACATCCATAGAAAAAAGCCTGTAGAGTACAAATGCCAAGGTTAAATGCTATAATTTAGCAGTGATTTCTGCACAGAAGGAGATAAATTATCGCCAGCACCCATCAGCTTTGCAACTTTCTGATATGCATTGGTCCCCAACACTGCTGCAGACCCTTTCAGCCCTACTGTTCTGCATCGAACTAGGTGCCTGAAGGGAGTGTCACTGAAACACCAGCCCCCACTGAGATGCATACAACTGGTTCACTCATTGAACAGACACCCCACACACAACACTAACCCGATTTTAAGGCAGTTAATTACAGCACTGTACAGGGTAGGCAAACGTTTACCTTCCTGAACTTTATTCAGTGGGAAGAGCAGCTGCTTAATTGGGACAGCTAATTATTTTTTGAGGTTCTTCGCACTGAATGCCCCAACTTTGCAATTAGGCTTGTTTCAGCCCCTAAGAACCTCTGAGCTCTTCAGGGACACAAACAGCTGCCAAAACTCAGAGCCTGCACACATTTTAGAAGTGCAGCGACCCCTGCGGAGCTGATCAGCTCTGTAGTGGTCCTCCTGAAACACAGTCTGCTCCAGCTCTCGCGCTAACTCATCTAACCAAAAAATACAGTTAAATGATAGGCATCGGAGTAGTTGAGGAAAATTACACACAATAACCACACCTTTGCCTATCAAAAATAGCTCTTGACTTGAGAAGAAATGCTCACGACTCTTCGGGAGTTTACAAAAAGACATTTGAATCACATGACCCTTCAGGTATTCTGAACAGAGACTTTTTGAGGAAAGTTCATAGAGGGATAAAAACTGCAATCCAGAAGCACATAGCAGTATCGAATGACACAGAAAACGGATCTTAAATAAGGAGACTAAAAGTAGCACAGGAAGGTTTTAGTATGAAGTTTCTCAACTGATTGCAAAAGTCAAAAGTATTTTCAGTCCTCCAAGAGAAGTAAAAAATGTACATAGCAAATTAAATATGGAAATAATTCTTCATAAAAGAGAGGAAAAAATATCCTTTGGGGATACAATCAAGATAAACATGAGAGAAAAGATGTTCTTAGCTAGCTGAGAGCTCTGCTCTTTTACAATAGCTTGTCTCTGTAAATAAGCACGGACATTAGTTGAATGTAATTTTCAGAGCTGCTTTACAATAATTTCTTACGTTAACATTCAATGCACTCAACACCATTTTCTGTGCAAATTAACTTATGCAGTTTTCTCCATCACTCTTGAACATACTAAAAGCAGCTATGTGAGGAATGGGTGTGAATTAAGTAGCTACTCTTAACATCTTAACACATGAAGTCTTTTACCTTTTACACTGATTTTGGGTTTTGAAGCCCACAAATTCCCAATAAAGCTGTAGTTTTTCATTTCAGCTAAGCACAGCTGGCTCGGAACCACCTATCTTAAATATTGCTATATACACCGGACCAAAACAACCAAGATTTCTTACATTGAAAACCAAGCCTTTTTTATTTCACTCTTCTCAAAAGCATCAGTGTGTCTAGCACAGAACAAGTCGGATATGCTGAAAATGCCTGACAAGCAAACACCCATGGACCAAACTGACCCCTTTAACTCCCTCCCTTGACCCCCCATCCTCATCCCTTGCATCTCGGGGAGGGCTGGAGGACTAGCAGAACTCCACAGGTGCCTCTCAGCTATTCAACTTCACAGCCCAAACCATTATGCTCAGAGCATCAAGACT